CAGAGACAGAGAAAATAGAGAGGGGGGGGGGAGAAAGAGAGAAGGAAAGGGAAAGGGGAGATGCAGACAGAAAGAGAGAGAGAGAGAGGGTGTTTGCTATTATGATAAGAATTATTCCTGTCATTTTCTCTCTGCGTCGGTTCCCAGGCTTTTTCGTTTTCCTTCATCTCATGGGATGGAACATTTGAAGCTGGCCAAAATATTAAAAATACGTCACTGTAGTCACTGACTAAAACAGTCAGTGGACGCTCCGTCTAAACGAAGCTTGAGTGCCGTGAACGTAGCCTCAACAGCGCCTGCAAACTGCATTCAGGGCGCCGTGAACGTAGCCTGCCAATTACATTCAGGGCGCCGTGAACGTAGCCACTGCGATTATTATAAGTTAAGGACTGGAGATATAATTACGTATGATAGTCCTATGTAGAGGTAATTTCAACTGCGAAAAATGATAATGTGGTATGGCATTATATAGCAACTCCTCGAGGAATGGATCCATTCATTAGATGTCCATAAGCTTTGGTTTGACTTCATCTTATTTGCATGGATGACAAATATGTGAACTTCCTGCTGTCAAAACGCCTTTTTTCATTTTGGCACGAAAATTGTGTATTTTTGTGAAATGTAAAGCCTGATAAATATTCAGTTACCCTACTTTTGTGGAAAAATCAAAGTGAAGCTGTGACTAAGTTTTTGTATAAATTAAGTAGAATTCAAATTTTGGAAGAACACAATTTTTTAAATGGTTACCCTGCTGACAACCCCCCCCCCCCCCCCAACTTAAAATTTTTGAAACTGCTGTGAATAAAAAAAAAAGATGTTTTGTCAGCTTACAGTACCTAGATGTGAAGATCAGTAGGTGAATTCACATTTTAACAGTGTTGCCCAGTAACATATGTGACAGTGGGTACATACTCCTGTTATAAGGTGCTGGTGCACAGCTCAGCTTCAACTGTTACATACGCAGTGGTGTTTCTTTGAAAAAAATGATGGTTCTTGTGTCTTAATTGTGTTTGTCAACATTTGAATTTCTAGAATATAAAAAGAAATCAATCTACATTATTTTTTTCAGTCTTTCAACGATGCAATCCATTGGTAAAATGTCTACAGTATTCTCGAGCAGCATCCTCATCTGGCATGAACACAAGAACTTATGAGGCTGCCTTGTCTGGGATTCGTGTTTTAGATTTAACAAGGCAAGTTCAGAGTGTAGTTAAAAGCCGATAAACAGCTTCTCAAATGTGTGCTACTACAGTAAAACCCTGATAACATAAACTTCACAGAGCCAGAGATTTCTTTGTGTTGAGCAGATGATATTTTTAGGAGAATAAAAACAAAAAACAAACAAAAGAAAGACAACTCCTACTATTTGCTGGCATGTGTTTTTTTCTCATATATGTTGTAACATATCCTGAGGTACAGAGTTGCCAACTTCAGACAGATGCCTTGACCACACAGAATGAGGTTCAATGGAAGTTGTAGCTGTTTACTAAATGGTTTTCCTCACTAGGTACTTCTAGTTCTACTCAATATAACACTTATAAGAGCAAAAACAAATGAAACATAAAATGGTAAATCTTAGTTTGCGCATTATTGAAAGATATAATCTGAAAATGAAAGAAACAGGACATGTTCCCTTTAAATTTAGGGATGGTTGGCAACTTCCCGGTGTCTTAACTCTTTATCCTGCATTATAACAAAGCTACTCTCTCACCACCAGCAGCCCACAGTGAAGTGAGAAAGAAAAACTGTATATTTTGCGAGTCTTTAGTTTACATGTATTGACATGTATTGAAAACGATTGGGGACGGTGACTGAAAAAGAGGTAAAGGGGGATATTTGGCAGGGGGGAATGATGAAAGGGCCTAAATAATAAAATTAAAATTCCTTCGTGTCCTCCAGATCTATGGGAATTTTTTTACTTTGTAGGGAAATTGCAATGCATGAATATGATCAATAAAGGGAAAAAACTGTGTTTAAATAGTTTACTGTTTACGAGAATTTCATTTTATCAACAGCTTAGTCTTAGTGTTAAATAATATCTACTGTACATGATACATGATGTAATTTTTTGTAGTTCAGTTCATGTTGGTTTATCACATTCTTCTTGAAAAATCTATTAAGCTCTTTTTTATTTCTCCCTTTAAGTATAAATTGAAAGACGTACTCTTTGCTAAGAGTTAACATACTTTTGCTGTTTCTAAATTGTTTCAGCACTGCATTTCCTCCATTATTGGTCTATTCCTGTATCACATGGTTTAATTTACTAAGACATGGTGAACAATCTTTTGTTGACATCTTTAAATAACTAATTTAAGTGCATATAGTCATCTCTAATTTACCAGAAATAATAGTGTCACTGTATACTTCTCTTCATCCCTGCCCAGGATATTAGCCGGTCCTTATTGCACTATGCTTCTTGGTGACCTTGGAGCAGAAGTGATAAAAATTGAAAGACCAGGTTTGTTGTCCAGTTGTTCTGCTTGTGTTCAGCTCCTATTTATTGTGTGTAAAGTTTATTGAATAGTTTAAACTGGACTTGGTACACTTTGAAAAAACCACAGTCACACATTGGTGTTTCAGATGCATTACTTTGTTTTGAGTAATTTGATATATGTACTTTTCTTTACATATATGCAGTAGTCTCCGCCTAGGATCCTGGTACTTGGGAGCAAGGATTATCGAGGAACCCTAGGCGAAATGGGATCTTAGCCGAATGGCCTGGGGGAAGAATCCACAGTAACTCATGGTCAGGCCAATAATTTGTACGATGATCTTCCCTTACTTTAAAATGAACTGACGTAACTCCTGAGCACTAACAGTTCCTCTCAGAAGTCAGTTTTTCCTTTTTTTTTTGTTTGAGGGGGAGGGGGCTTTAAAAAAATATTGTGTCTGGTGGGAACCAGTTGGCTTCAAGCAATGCCCCCCATCAAAAATTTATTGCTTTTCATCTCTAACGGAGTTCCCCACTCATGTCATGATGCATCATAAATCGTTGCGTTGTGACCACACCAACGAAATTTTAAGAAAATGAAAGGCAAGTTAACTGCCAACAGATGACCCCATTGCGCAGAGGCGATCGGACAGTCCACGAGTATAAGTGCCAGTCTGTCTCGGAAGTTAAAGCGCAAACTGAAAGACGAGAGGGATGGTCGGGAAAAGGAAAGCGTCCACGAGTTCACAGTTTGATAGAACGCAGCCTGATGCTTGCTTGAAGGCCCTCCCCACCTAGTGTGTGACGTAAGATCAGGTGGACGGCTCAGGTGATTGGGGAAAGCAAGGCATTGACGAGTTCACACCTTGGTGCGATCCCATTTGGGGTAAACATTGTAACCGCTTATCCAGATTTACAACAGAGGTGTGATTGCATTCATGAGAGTGGATGATCCGTGACACGACGGACCATACAATGATCGCACATTTTCGCCACTTGGTTGATCAGCTGAGCACGCCAAGGATTCTTATAATTCTTTTTTTTTCTTCTAAATAACTAAATAACCTGAAAAACTGGATCTTACCATGTGTAGCTCCTTCAGTGCGGGATCATAGGGGTGACTTTTATATAGTAAAAATTCTGTTTTTCGTTTTTCCCAAACAGCGGGATCTTAGGCGAACAGAGACCATAAGCAGTGGGATCTTTGGTGGAGACTACTGTATATATATATACATATAGGCCTATATATTTCATCCTCATTGTAATTACATGTGTGTGTACCTGGAGTAAGGTCCCAGTTGCTGGAAATTTTGGATGTTGAAATAAGGGCGTATTCTTGTAGCACATTCAATGCTAAACATGCAGATTAAAAATTTTTTCAAATATCTCAAATAGTTTTAAAATATGTCACTTTTTTAAACATAGGATGTGAAAATAAAGTTTGTAGAAAAATGGCTTTAACCTTAGTATGTTGACACAATTTCTAGCACATTTTATAACTTTGGTGAAGTAGGCCCTACAATATGCTGCAAAAATAATATTCGTTAGATATATTTAGACTTGTAGTGTCATAAAATCCTTTCAATATGTTGTGAAGAAATAGTTATAGGTACAGTATAATCCGCCTATATCGACATGCTCTGGGAAGTGGATTTGATGTCGATATATAAAATTGTCAATAAACGAAATATAAAGCCAAAGAGGAAAAAACAAGGGAAGGTAAGTGGTAAAAAGACTACACTACTTTTTAAGCTGGTTGCTTCCCTTGATTCTTACACAACTACACGGTGAAACTAACATGAGGCAGAGGAGAGGAAGGGTTGGAGTTACGGTACCAAAGACCGAGCAACGCAAGGCGCACACTACACATCAGTGCAAACTTTGTTGTAGCATCCCTGTAAGGCCTGATTACATCTGCTGGCTGAAGAAAATGGAAAGGCGAGGCACTGACTCGCTGAAAGTGGCACTTGCCAGCGACAGATTGAGAATGGGATGGGGAAGGGGAGTGAGTGATCGGGCCATCGGGAATGGGGCTAGGGAGGTGATGCCCAGCGTGCGAGACACTCACGTCTGTGAGGCACTGTACTGTGTTGGAGACTACACTGTATAGGCCCTACATGACCTACTAAAGCCTGGTGTGTCGAATAGGCTACTGTACTGGTGGGTATGCGGACTGAATGAAGAACTAATACGTTGACCGTTAGCGTAGCTTTTTCCCCCCAATTATGTTCACGGGCTTGGTCAGGTACCCAGGAAGCGTGTCGAAAAAAAGTCGATATAAGAGAAATTGTCTAGTGAAGATATTGAAAGAAAAAATTTGTAACTGAAAAATATGTCAATATGTCAAAATGTCGATACATCGGCTGTCGATATAAGTGGATTATAGGGTATGTTTTCTGATGGAACTAAATTTTTGACCGTTTACGACTTTTTTATTTTGGCTTTTTCACTCCGCTGCTCGAAAATAGCTTTGCCAACAACTGGGACTCTTCTCCTGTCGCACACACACACACACACATATATATATATATAGATATATGTGTGTGTATTGGTTTGTCTAAGACAGAAAATTTAAAGTATAGATGACATCTGTTTGTGTGCTATGACTGTCATGTTTAAGTATATAAAAACATTTTGATATAGTAACACTTACAGCTCTTGATTTTAACAAATTTGTACATTGATTTTACTAGGAGCAGGAGATGACACGAGAACATGGGGTCCCCCTTTCATTGGCTCCGAGAGCTGCTACTATCTGTGTGTGAATAGAAACAAAAAGGTTTGTACCTTTTGTTGACTTTCATCTCTGTTGTTAATTCACTTTCTTGTTTTTGTGGTCTATCTGCCTGTAATTTTTGTATTTCTTGTGCTGTCACAGACAGATGGGTCAAAAATGGAGAATTATCACTTGTAGCTGATAGATTGTGTATTTAGGATTGGATAAGATAAGAAAAAATCTTTATTGTCCAGATCCTGGCACATTGTTTTGGTGTTTCACTACACACGAATGCACACACACACACACGCGCGCACGCACACACACACACACACACACACACACACACACACACACACACACACACACACACACACACACACACACACACACACACACAGAGGCATATGCACACACACACACACACACACACACACACACACACACACACACACAGGCATGCACACATGTGCGTGGACACACCCATACACTAGACTCTCTCACACATCCTCTCCTCCACTCACATCTGTGCACATACACCTTATGATGTAATAGTATGTTTGCACTCACAACAGGCTCGCATATTTAATATAAATGATGAACAATAATTGTTTACAGTAATAATGTTAAGCTAGTTGCTTAATTAGTATACTGGTTGTAACCCAATGACATTCTGATTCTGATATTGCATGCTTTGAAGGTTGTGGGTTCGAATCCCGTCGAGGGCCCGACGTTGTGTCCTTGGGAAAGGCACTTTACACGAATTTTCCTCACTTCACCCAGGTAGGAATGGGTACCCGGCTATAAACAGCGAAAGATCTTGTCAGTTTGTTAGTGTTTGAGCGCTTAATCGGCTGCCTCCACTGCATGCTTCCCGGGAAGCTGAGAATGTTTCGGAGTGTTCTATGGTCTGCTGGGGTAATAACATAGTGTAAAGCGCATAGAGCCTGCTGCTGAACGGGGATATGCGCTATACAAATGCTATCTATTATTATTATTATAATTAACAATTGCACCTACATTATGTATATCATGTATATCTTGCTTTTCTCAACATTTTGACAAAGTAATTCTCAAGTACATGTACATGCAACCAGTACAACATATTGACAGAATGCGATAACAATTTTTTTTCTCTCAAAATTTTGGGCTTTGTACATTTGAATGATGGGTCAACAATATGCAGCTCCTGCCCGATTTTGAAGCTCCAAGCTCATACACCAAATAAATGCTTGCAGACATAAATTGATCAAGCTACTATAGTAATGGGAATGCTACTCTTTGGGGTGCTTTTTATGGCTCTTACTGAAGGAGGATTCTTAATGGAATACTGTTTTTCTTGTTTTTAACTTGATTGAAATTTTGGATTTAATTGTGCATTTGAAAAGCATGGATACAGGAACATAATCTAGATTTGAAGTTTTTGTAAATAATGGTACAACTTTGAGAACTGTGTACCACTCTGTTCATGTCTTTTTTCTTCACAGAGTGTCACCGTGAACTTGAAAAAACCAGAGGGAATCAAGATTATAAAAAAGGTGGATTGTATGCAAAAGTTGCTGGGACGTTACGTCCCTCTCAGCCTTGGTTGAAATACACAGAATCGATCCAGTCTGCCTCTTAATGCTGAAAATTGTGCTGATGAGGGCATATAATTTCTACAATTACATTTACTGTTGCTCCACATAATCTAACTTTTCCTCATATTTACTTAAACGGGGTCACTTTTGAATTTGCTTCATTTTTCCATAATGACTCTTGCTTGTCTCATAGTTTTTCATGAAATATCAAATAATATCATGCTCACATTATTTCTTGGTTAGTGGTGCACTGGCTGTTCTTAAGCTAGACATATGATATTAAAATGAAAAGCTAGGAAGTAATGGTGTGATGGTATATGCATGTCTTATTCTAGTTTGTCTTTTATATGGGTTGATTGATTTGGTGATTTTCATACACTGTTGTTAATGCCATTACTTGAAACTTTTCTTGAAACGACAAATCAAATATACTTTCTTATATTTTTATCACGTCCCTTCAGCTAGCTTCAGTGAGTGACGTCTTGGTGGAAAACTATATTCCAGGAAAGCTGTCAGAGATGGGTCTCGGCTACCCTGAGCTGAGTGCTGAATTCCCTCATCTCATCTACTGCTCTATTACAGGTGATTGTGAAGCAGATTCTTTTTAGATTTCGATCTTTCTGGTCAGCATAATTTTGTCGCCCATTTCTTTTTAAAGGGAAAAACATTGTTTTATGCTGTAACCTGACCAGACCCTATTCAATCTGATGATGTATATAAGTCAGGTCCATTTGACCAATGGGCATCCATTGTTAGAGATAGACTGTACACTTTTTATGTATTTCATGATTCCTGTTTAGTTTCTCTCTTCAACATCCCTTGAATCATCCTGTCTTTGAATCTATATTTTTTTGGTCATAAACATGATGCTATGGAATCGGACACTTGTCAATTTTTTGGTATATGAAGTTATGGGTGTCATCTTAAAGTTTGCGCTTTTGATGAAAAATTACTCATCTATCTTCTTAAACAGAAGTTGGGATACTTGTGATAGAAGGAGGTGGGGTTCACCTGGTGTCAGAGTCAGAGGTAATATTAACAAGAAAATAACAACCAAAGTTTGGTGATTTCCAAAGCTTGATTTCTTTGGAAACTGCAAATTTACAGTTGTTGTGTCTTTGATCAACGGTTTCCATAAAATCCACATAGAAATGTGTTTTGAAATGGATGTAAAAAGGTTTGAGCAAAAAAAAAATTAGAGATAAAAATTGTCCATGGGGATGAAAAATGTGGATTTCTGTCATTTCATTATTTTGACGAGCACCATATTTCACTGCTAGGCACCATATATTATTCTTTTATTACCCTTTAGCTGATGATTTAATGATGTGGGATGAAAGTACCAGTACATGTATAATTATCTTTAAAGTCATTTTAGAATTATAATATTGGATACTGAATCACTTACAGTAAAAGTGGCTATCATTTCCAGTGGTCATTGTCTGCCAATTTTCTTCAGGTTATGGTCAGACAGGCGGTTATGCTTCTCGTGCTGGCTATGACGTTATAGCTTCTGGGATGGGAGGATTGATGCACATCACTGGCCCACCTGTGAGTCAAGTTGTGGAAAAATAAACTTGGGTCCTCCAGTTTGTGTTTGATGGTTTCTGTCATTAATATCAAGTGTGGAAGGAGATGGGGTTGGCTGTTAAAGAGATGAAAATAGCATTGAGACTGATTCTAGAAGATTCCCTTCGAGACTTCTGTTCTTCCTGAAGAGATCCTGGTTAAAAAACTCTTCAAGAGCTATTCACCACCTCACATATTGAGGAAAGGAAAGTTGAATTGATATAAATTACTCCGCTTTGTTTCTGTTGGAGATGGATTCCAAGCATCAAAGCTGGCTTTCTTAAGCTATCGGAGCTGTATTTGTTCTCAGGAGTGAGGAAAATTACATGTTTGAAAAAGCCTTCTCTTTGAATAGTAATGAGATAAATATCAATGCTCATCAATGTTTCTGTTAATGACATGAATAATGTTTCAAAGAAGTGATCATATTGAAATAAAAAGAAAGAAAAAAACTGGCTTGAAATAGAAATAAATGTACATTTATGGATTTTTTGCTTCAAACTATTCAGCTGTTGTTCTGAACAGTCTTTCCTGCGTTTGCTATTTTATTTTCCCCAAACAGGATGGTGAGCCGTGCAAAGTAGGTGTGGCCATCACAGACTTGTCCACTGGTTTGTATGCTGTGAATGCAATCATGGCTTCGATTTTTGTCCGTCAAAGAACTGGGAAGGGTCAACATATAGACTGCAACTTGCTTTCTACTAATGTAAGTCTTCATTGTTTCACTTTTTAATTTGAAATCCATCTGTAGAGGATGGTATGTTTTTGAAGTCCAGAGAAGTTAATAAATCAGCTACAATTTTACAGCATTATTTGCTTGAGTAGATTTTGCAGAATATTTCATCAGAATGCTGCAAGGAAAGAGGCCATTTCAAGCACTACAGTAAGACATCATGAGTTAAAAAGCGAAAATTCAAGCTGCAAAAGGAAAAAAGCATAAATGTAGATCAGTGGTCTTCGGAAAATTTTCTCATCTTGCTTGTTTCATTGATTTGTGCATTTATTAATGTTCTAACGTGCGAAGCATTGATTATACTGACATATGTGATTTAACATTAAGGCTCTTTGCCTTTGCCCGTCGAAGATGTGTTTCATGCCTCATGGGAAGTTTTTGGTATTGAGTACAGTTAATTTGTTTGTCCACTGAGACGCAGTATCCTTCTCAGCCAAGTTGGTCCTGATAGGCAAGGTTGAAACAGCTCGTCTCCTAAGTGATCTAAACTGTGTTGTTAGGGGCTGAAAACATTTTACAATTTAAAAATGTAATCAGTTAATCTTTGTGCTCTGTTATTCCGCCACCAAATATTTGATTTTTTCTGTCAGTATTATGGTTTCATCATGGTTTTCTGAAAATATTTTATCAATGGATAGAAAGCACTTGCCAGCAGCACATGTTAGTAACTGTTGCTTTCTGAATTCACATACAAATGTTTATAAGTTAAGTAGCTCTATTCTCTACATGATTTCTCTTTTAATTAAGCAGTTTAGCAGAATTGGATGAAATTCTTGGCTGAATGATAAGAATTCTTCACAAGTTCTCTGCATAGAATTATTGGAATGTATCAGTATCATGATCATGGTAAAATTTCGCCTCTTGTCTGTACACTTGGAGAGAAATAGAATTTTTATGAGTGTTGGAGGGTGTCACTGATAGGTCTTTGTTTTCTTTCCTTCCGTTGTGTCTGTCTCACTCTTTTCATGCACTAAATGATCATTGTTTTGTTGGTGTTCTTCTTGGTATTCAAACGAAGAAATGTAGTTTTTAAAATGTTACACTTTTGTGAGTTTGATGATCTCACCTGGTGCAGCCGTGTGATCTACCCCCTAAACTGGAATCCTCTTGCTTTTTGTCATCACCTCACCACAGTGAAAAGACGAAGGCTGATATGATCAGATGGTGAGGATGTTGTTCCCTTCCTTCAGGTGGCCTCTCTTGTGAACATTGCCTCCAACTATCTCAATGCGGGGGAGGAGGGAAGCAGATTTGGAACAGCACATACCAGCATTGTGCCGTACCAGGCAAGTGATTGAGTTACTTCAGAAGAGAAGTACATTACAGTTTCTAACCCTTACAGTCTGAGACATAACCATCTATATTTGTACCGACAAGATAAACAGTTCATTCAAGAGAGATGGAAACAATACCATAATGTACAGTATAACACGGATAGGTCGAACACAGACGACTCGAAATCACGCATCCGTTGAACTGTGCCTGCAGCCCTGTTTTTTTTTCTTCTTTATTTTTGTAAGCTATCCCTTGAGCTACGGATCCCTCGAACTACCAAGGCCGGTCCCCACAAATTCGAGCCATCCGTATTATACTGTATTTCCCCTAACACCCTTACAGTTGTGGTGAGTCACTAAAACCAGTAGGCTCTAGCAGTCATTGCGTGCTGCCAAACACACTCCCCTGACACTGCCACTGGAATATTTTACCTTGTGGTCTAGGCAGGAAGTACAGTCAGAAACAATAGGAAACAAGTCTATAAAGCAAAAGAGAAATTGCTATTCTTTTGTTGGATATTTGAATGGTGTAAATTGACCCCAAAATTGGGTTTGTGTGAATCTTTGAAGATATAAAATGGAGGCTGTAATGGAGTTGAGTTGTGGCCAAATAAAACAAAACTTTGAAAATGCACCATAACTCGTGTTATATTTTTAATTCACTGGAGGAGATAAATTATCTTTTTACTTAGATGAAATAGATGGGTAATGAATGAAAGCCTATAGCCACACCTGTAGAGTGAGAAATAAATAACTTGCACCCACTGTACTGCAATTGAAAGAGGCTAATTAGAACCAGTGTTCTTTTCTTAATATAATTGCATTTTTCTATAGGGGGGGGGCTCTTTCATGATTTACAGGTTCAGTGTTTGCCTCTCATTTAATTGGTCCTGGGTTCCAAACCTGACAGTGACGGAAAATTTTCTTCTCCAAAAAAATGTTCTGCTTTCACCTCCTTTCTTGCTCTCTAACCATGTTTTGTCGTCACTTTCGTTTCCTCATATTTTATGGTAAAAGGCTTAAGAATAAGCTACTGCACAAGTAGCAATACATCTTCTTTGTCTTCTATACACCTGTTGAAAAATGACAGTGAACCAGAGTGGGAGACCTCAAGTGAGTACATGTACAAAGCAGTGAAGTGGTTAATAGAATTTTTCTTTGATCAAACAATATCTTCAACCACTTTTGCTTCTGAACTCATTTCATGTCAAACTGCCTTTTGCCGAATCGACAACCCGAGCTTCTTTAGTTCAACTGTTAGATAGTATACACTTACCTTGTCATATCTCGGTATGAGTTTAATCATGAGTGGACTCCACTGTTCATTATAGATGTGAGTGAAATTCCATGATGGATTATGGGATTATTCTTATGTGCGTTTGCAATTCTTTGTTTGCTCAGAGGAACTGTGACCATAATTGACTAGCAAAGTGAAATTTGTGCTTGTAAAAATCATGTAGCAGAAAAATAAAGCTCTAGAATCTTTATGCTAAACAGTGTTTTCTGCCTCTTTGATTTTACATTTCAGCGTTTGAGTGTTTGATGTTCATGTCATCAGTGTTATAGTTTTAATGCTTTTTCTCTTACCCAGGCTTTCAAGACCAAAGATGGCTATGTGATCATTGGGGCAGGCAATGATTTGCAGTTTGGGCTTTTAACTAAGGTAAATGACTGTAGCTTATTTGTTCCTTGTAGTGATATAACGCTTGTTTATCATCCACAAAAGAGTCTGGCTGATTGCTTTTACCTACTTCCGACTAGCTGTTTTGATTTCACGTGCTCAAAAGTGTTCAGCCACAAAATGAGAATGAATTTTAATTTTACGAGTAAATGTACCATGGTGTTCTCAGAAAATTAACTGCCTATTGTAAGAAAATAATTTGAATTAGAATTTAACCTTTGTTTTTGCTTTTTCAGCTGATGGGTTGTCCTGATGTTAGTAAAGATGAAAGATACCTGACCAACAAATTCAGAGTTAAGAACAGAGTTTCTCTATTAGCTTTCTTAGACAAAATGTGAGTAAAAGAATTGCACCTGTGCAGTTTGCTATTCAAAATTTTCTATTAGTGACAGATGCTTGTATGATATCATTCTGTATATCATTTATGTTTGGTAAGGGAGATTTTAAAAAATTCAATGAAGCAAGGCAATGTTGTTTGGAATTGGTTTTAATGATACCAGCCACTATCTAACATGACCAAAAATTATGTTTCAATCATATAAGCCAATATCTACCATGTATAAAAATTATGTTTTAATAATATGAGCCAATATCTAACATTTACAAAAATTATGTTTTTATCATCCCAGCTAATATATACAGTATTGAAAACTCAGTTTTGTGTATCTACATTTTCGCCATCAGTATTTTAAACAAGAAATTGGACGACAAAGTTAATGAGACGTGGAGGTTAAATCTTTAAAGAGATTGGGCTTGGAGTTCTAAAAGCAATTTGCTTTGATAAAATACTGACTTTTCCCAGTGGCATTTGAAATTATGAAAACATGTTGATAGTAGTTTGATAAAAGTGGCAGCGGGAAGCACAGTTCTTTCCACTTAGAAACGAATGGACATGGTCATTCTGACCGTTTTATCTTGATAATTTTGAACTATAGGCTGTTAATAAATTTCCATTTCTTTTTAAGTTTTGAGACAAAGTCGACTTCGGAGTGGTTAGATGTTCTAGAAGGTTCAGGCATTCCTTATGGCCCAATCAACAACATGAAGGATGTGTTCAGCAACTCTCAGGTAAATGCTTGTGACTCTTGTAGGTGATCAAGAAAAAGGTATGATACAGGCCGTGTGTATGGGTGCATTTGCATATGTGCGTATATTTGCATGTGTATGTGTGTGTTTCTTCCTTTCAATACAGGTGGTTAGGGGTGCCACTGGTATCTTCTTTTTTCTCACTCTGCTGTTTTTGTCTATTTGCTTTTTTCCTGCACTAGATACAAATACAGTCAAACCTCGTTATACCGTCCCCCCATTATAACTCCAGCCCCGCTTACCGTCAGGTTTTGCCAATGTACTAAATGGAACGCCTATATAAACATAGTATTAGTATTTGCACCTTTACACTGTCATCCCAAAATGTCTGAGTTGCATAGTCCGTACAAAATTGATGTGAGTTTGCTCGCCTATACCGCCAACAAATAGTCTGCCAGAAGTACGCACAGCACACACCGGGTGGCTGCTTGATAATCTTTGTGAGTTCGGCTATTTCTAGTTTTTTTTTCCACATATTTGCTCCTGATTTGCACTGATTATGAAAATGCTTTTAAATGTAGAAAAATAGAATACTTTGGTCACTTAAAACGACACCAGACCATTGTGAAAAAGGTGCTTGAAGGAAGGATGTGGCGCAGGAGACCCAGAAAAGACGTGGACTGGCCTGGGTATAGCAGAATGTGCATCTCAGCAGCTTAGAACCGTGAAGGATGGAGGTTCATTACATGTCGACCTTTGAGTCAGAGATGACACCTCCAGCCAGCCAACCATTATTTTTAGGGTTTGACCAATACTTAAAAAAAAAAAAAATTGGAATAAAATTTTTTAAGTCTCCTGGAGAAACTTTAGAGGGACTGCGCCACCTTTACTTGGCTTGTCTGCAAAACATTTGGATTTGCCAGATATCAGCCTGATTACTGAAAGACTGGCGGGCGTCCGTGAGGCTTTTATATTGTGAGGACTCACGCTCAAGTCTATGTGAAAGGTCTTAGGCAGCCGAAGTACTGACGGGCATTGGGTGAAAAAAACTAATTCGGCAGAAATTTTCAATTTACGTAAAGCCAGCGCTGCGCTTGGTTGATACTCGTTTTTCCCCTGCGCATGGCAATCATGCAAGACAGATCTAGATAAGTCAAGACTGGCCACAGTTTGTTTCTAGTCCCTATGTACTGTACCAGTCTACCACTAGTCAAGATGGCAACCGGTGCTAACCTGTTATACCGCAAGTCCTATTGTACTGCCAACTTCATACCTGTCTCAAGGTTGGCAATATAGAGGGGTTTGACTATATCGTGATGATTTGCTACATCTTTAACACTGCCTACCAAAAAAACTCTCAAGCATACACACCAAAAAACCCCCCCCAGTCACCCCTTTCCTCCCCACAAAACCCCTCAAATCAACCCTCCCCCCCACCTCCCTGGGAGAATCAACCTCTTCTTCCCTTCCCCCAAGACCCTCACACACCAACAACAAAGCCCAACAAAACAAAAATAACAACAAACGTACTAAACAAAAACATAACAAACCAACAACGCACATTTTCCCCCCAACAGTTCATAGATTTATGTCGGTCCACCTCAGGTGTGGTTTCTCTACCTTCCTGTAATCTCTCTTTTGTTGACCACTTTCCTAGCAGCTTTGCTCGTTTTCCCCCTTCTTCCCACCAGGTGCAACACAATGGCATGATCCAAGAAATCCCTCACCCGTCCCTGGGCACAGTCCGAGTCCCTGGTCCAGCGGTCCGGTACAGCGAGGTCCCAACCGTCCAGCCCACACCACCACCATTGCTTGGGGAGCACACAGGGGATGTGCTCGCCTCGCTTCTGGGCTACTCGCCAACGCGTGTACAACAGCTGCGAGAGGCCAAAGTTCTCAGTTGACTACAGATTTTCTGTCTGTTTGATGAGTTGCGTATGAAACTTTAAAGCGGTTGTTGGGATTATTGCTACTTTGTCCTAAACCTAGTGGAATGGTAGTTTGTTTTCTTGTCTTTGTAAGTGTGCTTTTATCTGTAGGCCTGCTGAAGTTGAAAGCTGTTGTATTGTTGAAATTTTGTGTTCCATCTATGTAGTCAGAAGGTTATTTACCAAAGACAGATACAAAAGACAGTTGCTTTTATAAAGGACCAGTGGGTTGCTTGTACAACAGTGCAAAAAGTATGAAACAAAGTATGTGACATAAGCTCTGTGGACCACTCAGCTTTGTTTTTGGTCTCCCAGTTGGGGATGTATCCTCTAGATGGTACATGGTCAAGTCTGTCTCTAAGTTGAGAGTTAAAGCAATTGTGTATGTATATCAGGGTTTTCTACTTAAGCTTGTATCATATTTTTAAACAGAAAATCCCTTTTTAACCCAAATTAACATGCATGTATGATAAAATGTCTTTTGTTCTTGTTTTGTAGCCAGATTTTTGGATAGTCAGATGGTCTGCTCAGTTCACCAGATTGTGTTCGTTTCATTGAGATAAAGCATAGTGCCTAGTGTGGCGCAAGCAACCATTTGCATGAAATGTTCGACATTTTAAAATCCTAAAAGTATGATTTTTCATAAATGTGTACTGTGGAGTCAGCTTATAGTTTTAATGGAGAAAACAAGCTGAGACCAAATATTTTGTTCTCTTTGCGCATCCTCACCCTAGAGTCCTTAGGGGATAGGCCTACAGTTTGCTACTGCATATTTCCCCTACCCCTCGTAGGCTGTGTGGTTGTAACATCGCAGGTATTTCAAAGTTGCCATCTTCAACCCTCCCCCCCCCCCCCCCCCCCCACCCCACCCTTCAGGACCAGCTATGCATGGCCACTACATGAGTATAAAAAACACCCATGCTAATAAATATGTTTGCATCATGCAGAATTTATTTGCTGAGCATGGATAATACCGAAAAGAAATTAGGATAAAAACTAAGTTGTGTTATATATATATATATATATATATATATATCAATTTACCCAATTTAGTTATAGTAGGTTGACTTCACTGTTTACAAGAGTATACAAGGGTGGATCAAAGAGTAATGGAAGTTGGGAAGTATCTAAAAAATGTTTATGTTTAATGCTATGAACCTGAAATTTTCATTGTCCCTTGAAATATTTTTTTTATGCTGGATTTCAGCCTCCACAGCCACTTCTGGAAGGCACAGTAATAGTCAGTTCCCAGTATACTTACAGCTCTTGTTAAGTTTTCAATGTGGTCAAATTTTTGTCCAGCAAGCTTATCTTTCGGAATAGGAAATTTCTAGAAATCACAGAAAGCTAAGTCAGGACTGTAGGCTGGATGAGGTAAAACTTCGATCCCTTGCTCTTGTATGCACAGAGTTGTGGCCCTTGCTTTTATGGAAGCTACATTGTCATAGAGGAGCATCGTTCCAGAGAATCTGATCTTTGTTTTCTGCTCATCAATGGCATTTTTCAGGTGGGGCAGTACCGTGTGCACATAATAAGGAGACACAGTAGTATTATGTGGCATGTTACCAACTACACTGTAATTGAAAGACAGTTAAAAACCTCTTTCTTCTTTAAAATCCTGGGCGCAAAATAATTTAGCGTTTTTCATTTTTCATGGATCCCCCCCCCAAAAAAACTATTCGGTGTAAACATTTTGAGCAATCCTGCGGCCCATTCCACCCTCTTTTATTATATTTTGTGTTCCTCAATTTGACTCGAGTTTTAGAAAATAGGGTATCCAACAGGCACACACTTTTTATAATTTTGCTGTGAAACACACACAAAAAAAGTTAAGACATGTCACTTAGTTCTTGTAAAGAGGTCTGGGGATCTTTCACATTATGGTGCTAGATAATATCAATGGTTTTATCATTTAGAGGAATTTGGGCGGCCAGAACGTGGGTCATCAAAAAATAGTGTCTCATCCATTACTAAATTCTCTAATGACAAACTCTGTCATATGAATAAGCAAATTCTCCACAAATCCTCTAGAGATTTTTGTGATTAAGTTTTGGCTATTTGCCAACTTTGCAGTACATAAAGATGTAAAAGTTTTACTAAATGCATGTTTTTTGGGGTAAACTTTGTCTTATTTCCTCCATAGCACAAAACATCCTTTGTTTGTGACCTCATGAAATAGTCAAGGGCATCGTCTCTTATAACTTGAATGGTTGGTTTGAGAGTGTTAAAGATTAATTATGGGGATTGCTTCTATGACTGAAGTAAATCTTAGCCAGAAGATGGCAACTTCCATTACTTTCTGATTCTCTCTCATATGTTATCTGATTATGTGGAGCAGGTGAAAGGTGTATGTATAGCTTTTGCTAAACTGTTGTACAATAACCTCTGCGGCTGTGGCAAAGAAGTCAATTTATTGTTTAATTTTTTAATTTAAGAGTTCACAGCATGAATGATAGCTGGTTGGTGAATTGTGTATTCTTCATTTCTTGTGAAGTACAAGTACCAACTTTCAAGTGAACAGAATATCTTTCTTTTAAGAAGTGATGAAACTGTCATAGGAAGAGATTGTCCCACTACCAAAGTTTGAATGTTGACAATATTGATAATGGTGTTAGAAAAAGCCCAAACTTACTCTAAAATTAAAATATGACTGAATGCGAGTATAATAGGAAATCCCAGATGTTTTTCAACCCTCCAGTTTCTCCATTAAGGGGAAGAGATAATGAGACTATGTTTATAATAACAACAAGCATTTTTTTTTTTCATGTTGAAATTTCTTGTTTGCAATGCACCATCCCACCCGAAACAGCCTCTGTGTTGAAAAAGGTTTGGCTCTTTGTCATTGTTAGCAAAACCCATGAGTTGGATTTACGCATGGGTAAATAATTTATTGAGTATTCCTGCCTGTCTGCTGGGACCTATCTTCCCTCAGCTCAGTTTCGCCTTGCAGGCCGGTTAAAGCAGCTTGCCTCTCAAATGATTTATATCATTTATATTGTGTAGATAGAAAAATAATATGTTTAAATTCATTAAATCAATCAGTCTCAGAACTTGCCTTCAGCTCATTGTGTTGACCAACTGTCTTCACTTTTATCAGGCTAATCTTCTGACTGCGTTTAAAATGTAACTCAGTTGTTACCAGCTGAGCATGAAAAAAGAGAACAGCCCCCACCAGGGCAGTGCGATTGAATGAAGTGTCTTTAGGCCATCCCCAAGGGTTTTTTTTTACATGTTCTTATGCACAGTAGAATTGTAAATGGGCTGTTTTTATCAATGTCATGCTCATACTGTGCCAGAACAACATAGGGGGAACTGCTGCTTTTTCTTTCCTCATCCTTACTATCGTCATTTTTCATCTACTTCTTTTGTATGTTTGTCACTCTCTTGTGAACTGCTTTTTCCGGGGTGCCTTGATAGTCAAAGCAGACCTTGTGCTGTTGAGGCTAGAAAGGTGAGCAGAGTAAGTCTTATTCCCCATTTGGACTTCTCTGTTGACATCCTCCCCTTGGCGCTTATATGACCTTATGCAATTGTGAGTGCCGTAACACCTTACTTTAACTAAAAAACTTAAACAGAACAGATTCAGCAAACTGGAGATGCTTCATATAATTTCAAGTTTATTACATGTGATCACTGTAAATGTAAGAATAACATGAGAACAACATAACACATGATATGGCAGAATGCATAATGGGAAAAATTTGTTCATGAAAATTTAAAAAATGAATTATTGATTATTGATACCCTTCTCATCTCATGCATAATGTCAATGTCATAATGTTAGGAATGGGTTTCCATCTTTGTTACCACACATTCAAAGAACAGGAACACATGAATTCATGCCCATGATGCAATTCCAATCCTCATTTTTATGTGGAATAAAAGAATTCACTTTAAATGCGTATGCTAATGTGCTTTATTATTTTTTCCTTTAATGTCAAAGTTTGAAAATGACATGTTCCTTTGTTTTTTTAATTAACTGAACAAAGACATACATCAGCAAACATTAGGCACATTGACGGAGTCGGTCGGTCAGTGTCCAGGAATGACATGCCCTGAACTTGAGTAGTGCAAATTTCCCAAAAAGTTCTGCTGCTACTCATGCAGAGAAAATGCAAGAGAAAACTTGCTTGAATTTGAGGAAAGAGAAGCACATCGACATGATAAATGCCATTTAGTGCTGCAAAAAAGTGAGAAAGATACAAAAGTAACAGAGGAGGAGTAAAGAAGTAGGATCTAACAGTTGTGTCTTCCAATCACCTGGAGAAAATTTGAATTGATATCACAATAGACTGCATACAAATAAACTATTGAATCTTTATTAATATAATATAATATGAACAGTATGCCTAAACTGAACACAGTTCATCCGAACAAAGCGGGGGTACTTGCAAAAACAATAACCTTTAGAACAACGGAATACGTCACAAGCCTTTGGTAATTATTGTGCATTACAGCACACAATGTGACGCACCCCACCCACCGTAGGTAATTACTGTAAGTTTCAAACTGTGATCCATTTTTTAAAAAAGGTAAAAAAAACAACAATATAAACTTTCATTGGCCGGGGTAACAGTCAACACAAAACAGCAGGAATTGTCAACCAAATGTTGTTTTACTAGGTACCAGAAACTAAATTTTCAAAGTAGTTGTGTGCCAAATTTATCAGTTCCATTTGAAAGGCCTATATCCACTGAGCCTTTTGGTACCATTCTTTAACCTCTCAGTCAATTTTTAAGAAAATGGTAGTTTAAAATTTGATCAAATTTGTTAAAGTGGCCCCATGTTTGACAGACAATAAAAGAGTAGGCCCCTACCAAGAGCACTAAACATCTCCACATTAACAGAGTACAATCACTATAACAAATATATGGAGCCTAATTTTTTTCAAGACTGTGAGATCATTACAAATCAGTACTTTATCGCCTCAAACACGATGATCTGTCGTTATTTCGACAAAAAAAACGAGCGTTGACCCGGCCGGCGCGGCACCGGGCCCCGCGGCGAGCGAGTTGGCTCTATACTGTAGTGTACCCCGCGTGCGGGGTCACATGCTTTCTGAGTCTCGCGGAAGGATTGATGAAAAATAATTCCAAGCTGATTACTTTATTTTAATAGAAATTAAGCTGATCTTTTATTAGATATATTTTTAAAGCCGGTATTTTACATATTATGGGTAAAAAGTGATCTTTAAACATTTTGACAGTATTTTTAAAAGCTTTCTATTTAGACGCCAAAGGCAAAACACATACCACGGGAAAGCCCGTTTAAAGCTCTACAGTTCTCCGCCAATGAAAAGACGGTATTTAATCATTCCTCGTTCCGCGAAGCATTTGAATGCAGCCGTGTCAATTTTTCAACCGGCCGACCACGCATTCCGACTGCGAGGGGCTTCGCTTTCGTCGGCGATTCTCCAGCTCCTACTAATCGGACATAAAAACAACTTACACCATTGTAACGAGGAAAAGCTGAACTTTTACAAGGTGTACGGCACTTGGTGTTTTATAGCGAAAGAGCAAAGAAACAGCGATCGGAATTACCCCGATTTCACCGATACCATGCGGTCGGAAGGCCGCGAGTGCCCGCGAGGCCGTGTTTACGCTACCTAGTTTTACTCTTGGTTTTGGCACTTCTAAAGTCTAATGGTTTTCTAAGGGCAAAGGGGTAGGCTACTGAGCGACTGCAAGTGCTCAACAATGCAAAGAGGAAGTCAAAGTTAGACAGCTGCATGTGACGTAGTAACATACTGTCCAGTTCTAGCAGTCTTTCTTCCCTTATTTAATTTACTTGGAAGGTAGGCAATGGGCTTGGGTAGCAGAAGTTTAAAAAAATTGGATTCAGAGGTATTATAAATTGTATTTTTGTAAAATTGAATAAAAATTGTAATGATTCTGCCAAATTCATAATGATGCTGTCAGCCCTCCTGCGTTACACTGGCTTCAGTTTCTTTGCTGCAACAGCTGAGGATTGCAAAACAAAAGAAAAAAACAAAAAAATGATAAGTAAAAGAATCAGGAAATATTTTTCTAAACTAGTAAATGGATGTTTACATTTTTAGGTAATTATAAAAATGAATGAATAGTATAGAATAGTACGTAGTACAGATAGAGCTGGGGCGAATGGACGGACAGGTTCGTTACTCGTGGATGCAGTCAGAGCGAGCAACAGACAGCCATGCAAAAGGACTGCGAACCTCAAGTCAGTTAGTTTTTTTGAGTCCACTCCACAATTTCATTAAATTCTATCTGCAAGTGCAAGCAGGCGGGTGAAAGAACGAACTCTAGACTTGAAGACAAGAGCGAACAGATTGCGAATTTCAAGTCAGTTCGTTTCTTGGGTCTGCTCCACAATTTTATTCACTGAGCGGGCAATCGAACGAACGAAACTCTAGCAGAAAAGATACTTGACGCGAGGTTAGGCCCTTCGTCTATTGTTTGTTAATTTGGCCCAATGTTTCAAGCCACTAGCGGTGCCACAGGGAGTGAGAGAGGCTGGTGACATAGCACTATGTGTGTAACCTTTCGCCTCGGGCATGGGTCACACTGTATCACAGTTCTAACTTATTGTGAAGGCGAAGATTGAAGAATTCCCTAAGGGCTTTTGGGTGGTGGTGGGGGGGGGGGGGGGTGTTGTAGAGAAATTCCTGCCTTGAACGGCACCTTGCTACAACGTGGGCCAACATGGGAGGATGATTTTTTAAAAGGAGTAGCTCTGTCCGTCCGTCTGCCTGCTTGTATGAAGGAGTCTCTCCATCCATTCGCTCTCTGAATGAACTGTTGTCTCTGTGTCCAAGGTGTAGCAGGTAGCGAACAAACCTTCACAAATGGAAGGTTCGTTAGCACACCGTTCATTTGCGAGTAGTACCAGTACCAGCAAAACGTTCATTACTCGCAGATGCTGATTTAGCGAGCCTGACCAAACTCTAAGTACAGAATAAATGCCTCTGGTAAAGTAGGTTACCGTCTGAGAAGGGTGACATTTCCTCGGCACATACATACTCTTTCATAAGTTCAGCTAGCCAGCACACAGTTTGTACACACAAGCAGTAAACACAAGTTGTGGAGCAGCAAGTCATGAAACACTGACCAAATTTTTAGCATTTACGGCATTCTTACTTTAAATCTTAAATTTTTTAACTAAAAATAATAATAATAAATTACATTTTTATACAGCGCATTTCCACAATGAAAGTGTTCAATGTGCTTTACAAAGAGCATTGTTCCAATAGTGATCCTTTCACTCCCTCCCTGTCTCATCTCTCTCTCTGTCTGTGTCTCTCACTCTCCCTCTCTCTCTCTGCTTTCCCAATCCCTCTCTCAACAGTTTTACCAGATCTACATACTTGAATGATTCATCATAGTTGGAATCCTATTCTGCTTGTCCTTTTCCTGGATTTTCCGGCTCAAAATGACAGTTATTGTATTGGCATACTTTTTTTTTTCTCACAAAACGATTAGGCCTGTTGTTCTATCAAAGTGTTGTAAATGTTTTACAGCGTTTGCAAAGTAACTACATACAGTCTTATGACTATGAGCGAGCGTATTCAAAACTCACATTTTGACATATTTGGAAAGCATCTTGAGTATTGTATACCTTATTTAGGGGCAATTAGATCTGAGGTAAAGAGTCGGAGCACTGAGTCTTGAGAGAAGCGCTTAATAAAATTTTCCATGATAAAAAGTAAAATGAAAGATGATTGGTCCTTTCTTTAGAGCACACAGTGATCTAGACCTAAGCTAGTGGTTAATTAGCCTCTTTATTTGACATTTTCAATAAGACAAAATTTACCTCCTCATAGAGCTGGTGGTTGAAGGGTGCCACTGGTTGGTTCAACTTTTTTCTTTTCCTCTGTTGTTTATGTCTGCTTTTCTAGCTTATTCCAGGCACTTAAAAAACGGATATATTGTGTTGATGTGCTTCTCTATACATACATAAACTACCTCCTTAAATATGTAGGCATACCTTTCACATGGCACACCTCGGCATCCACACCCAGCTCCAGCAGGTGGTCAATCCACAAGATTTGCTTGTGTGACAGCCGGTCACCTGGACCCTTCACTTCACAGATCTGTTGAAAAGAACAATGAGCCAGTAGTTTGAGGGTGTCTACTTCTTTTCTGTTTTTTCTGTAGTCTTTCTATCTTTCTTGTTCACTGCACAACATGACTATTGTGTCAATCAATGTGCCTCTCTTTACTCAAACAAATATATATATATAAGGCATTCCCAAGGGTGTGTAAACAGTACAGCATGCCAACTTACATGTTATAACTCAAAAATATATTTAACTTTCCCAAGCAGATATCTTGGTCCCAATTTTTTTCTATCCAGGGTACTTTGTATATTATCAAAGCATGCTAAAACTTGAGTCAAAGTACTGTTGACACAAATATTTTGTTTCTTGCAGGGATGGTGTACAATTAATAAAGTTAGCAGAAAAAGGATGATCTTGACAGTCAAACACCTATTTCCTAAGCCCATCAGGCAGCCCACCAGCATAGTTTGAATAACTGAGGAGGTGGACTACTTGTTGAGGCCAATGCAGGCTCAGTTGGTAGGCCCTACAACATCTCACCTGACAGACGGAGATACCTGGTACTCAATAAATAACGTCTTCCCCACTCGGGAATCAAACATCCTTTGTGTGCAACAGCCAAAACTCTTATCATTGCATGTCAGACACTGGTCAACAGTTGATTAAAAGTTTGATAGGAAAAGATAAATGAATGAACCATTATTAGGTCTAGACAAGATCTCCACAAGAGCAGAATAGTCAAAAATGTACTTTTCAGAAGACCACGGCTAAGAACCTCCTATTATGAAATCCTCAAAGTTTCCTCAAGCTGCTACACATAGTACGCTGTACTGTACCCAAATAAGAAAAGAAAAAAAAAAAAGAAATATGAGCAAACTTAAAAAGATCATCATATAATATAAATTTATCATTTATATGTTATTACATCTGTTATTATGTACCTTCAGTGCTCCGGTATCCACGTTCCACAGTGTGAGATCTGGAAAGCCACTGCGAGTGTGTCGTGTACATCGCGCGAAGCGGCCGGTGATGCCACTCAGAACTTTTCCTCCCATGCACGACACCAAACTCTGATAGTAGGTAACAAAGGGGAGTACAAATTACGGCTTGTTAGTATGTTGATGAAAAATCAATGAGGAAGGCAGGTTGGTTCCCTAGTTTCAGTAAACAGATGCACATCAACATAGTAAAGGTCATTAAGTGAAAGGGAAAGAACAAGATAAACAGACATAATACATGAACAACAGAGGGAAAAAAGATGTGATCAAGAAATTACAAATACAAAAGCAAACATTAAATTCACATTCTTAAAGATGAAAAATGTCTTGTCATAAAGACAAACTAATAGTGACTACAAAATATGATGAATAAAACGCTACATTTTTCGGTAAGGGTCTCATTCAGTCCTCTCCTCAGAACTTGACTTACAATTTACAATGCACATTCCAGGTCTTCACTCTCTGAAACCAACATGAAAAAAAAAATCAAATTTTTCCCAAAGAATTTCCTCAGGCTTTCACTTTCAGAAAGCTACACAATGCCCACTTCAAAACCTGTGAAATAGAGAAGTCTTCTTCTATGTCCTCTTCATGGCATCCTCGTTTCAACTCATTAACTCTTAGTTTTAAGCACATTGTTTCATCTGGCGCTGCACAGTGGCAACCGACAGTGGCATTGTTTGTAAACTGTTCTGTATTTGTGTAATAGTGTGTATTTATGTATGTATGTATGTATGCATGTATGTATTTACATAAGTACGTATTTATAATTATGTATTTATGTATGTATGTTTGCCATTGTAAAACAAAGTGCCCTTCTGGGACAAATAAAAGTGTAATTTATTATTTTTATTTATTTTTTATCTCGAGCTCTGTCATTACCATTAGTATTGTTCGACAGGCAAGCAGAAAACCCTAGTTGTAATCTCATAAGCAAAGATGAAAAAATCAAACAAAATTAACAGTTTAAATAAATACCTTAAGGCATATCATTACATCTGATACAAAATGTTTCACAGAAATGACCCAAAGAATCGCGATAGCTACAGTTAGGCAGTTTTAATAACATAAAATGAGTCCAGTCCTGAAAAATAGAAACATCTCAAAGACTAGTAAAATAAGGGTTCTAACAAGTGTGCGTCAACTCTTCTATACAGCTGTAAATGCTGGACAATTAACAAAGATAGTGGAAATAAATAGAAGCAGCACAAAAATGTGTTTTTTTTACAAGACTTTTGAGAATTTCAATGAAGAAAATAAGAAAAGGTATAGATATATATCCCTATAAATTATAAACACTAGGTTATTTAAGACATAGGACAGGACCCCAGAGTTTAAGGTCCATCTCCAAAAGGACCAAGACAAATGGGAAATTTGAATAAAGGACACAACGTCAGACCAAGCTGAGGCTCGAATCCCCGAACCCGCATGTCTCACAATTAACGTTTACGTAACTTAGCTACTAGGCTACTGATGCCACCATGGAAAGGAAAAAAAAATCAAAGGTGGAATAAGCCCATGTTGGCAACTCACCAATAAAATCAATTAGAAAGCAACAAATGCAGTTTCTGGGAAACTTAAATCAACATAAAGGCTTTAAACATGTTGCTCTTACTGGAACAAAAAAAGGAAAATGAGACCCAGAGAAACTTATTTGGAAAACCTGAATAGATGAGTGATGGGGAAACGATAGGATAATAATAATAAATAATAAATAGCATTTGTATAGCGCATATCCCCGCTCAACAGCAGGCTCTATGCGCTTTACACTATATTATTACCCCAGCAGACTATAGAACACTCCAAAACATTCTCAGCTTCCCGGGAAGCATACAGTACAAGCAGCTGATTAAGCGCTCAAACACTAACAAACTGACAAGATCTTTCGCTGTCTATAGCCGGGTACCCATTCCCACCTGGGTGAAGTGAGGAAAATTCGTGTAAAGAGCCTTTCCCAAGGACACAACGTCGTGTCCCTGACGGGATTCGACCTTACAGTTGCAAGTCCGAGAGCCTAACCACTAGGCCACCGACGCCACCATACAGGTTTTGCAAGAGAAGGCGAGTGGAAAAATGAATGGGGAACCATCACCGCCGATCTCTGTTTCAGACCTGGCACTTTGTGATGGTGATGATAATGTTAAGAGAATGGAGGCTTTTTTTCTCTACTCAGTCTGCTTCTCATTATATGCAAAGACTAACTCACTGAGCACCACTCCCCGAATTGCCTCCAAGCCCCAGGGGACCACCCATTTCCCCCCATTTTTTGAAAATTCATTAAAAAATTGAAATGAAATGCTATTTCTTTGACGTTTTCTGTGCTTTAAACAGGATATGGGTTCAACAGACACAATAAACACATTTTGAGAACAATGAATGACATAAAATGTATAGGACAGAAAATTGGGACAAATTTTCCCAAGGAAAAAAAAAAAAGAAAAAAAAAAGGAAACGATGTGACAAAGCAGAAATCTAATAAACTTACACAAAATAGTTGTAGCAGTGTGTGTTTGTGTGTAGGAGAATGAAGCATCAGTGTATCCAGTGAAGTAGCATAAAAATGTAAAGGATCATTAATTTTGAAAAAAAAAAAAAAATAGATCTAGATCTTACTCGGTGACAGGCTGAGAAGGGTTTTCATTGTCAGTGCTGCTAGTGCTAGGACTAGATCTGCCAATAGATGTTCCAGGTCTGGGTACATATATCTTCTCCACTTTGAGGGCTGATTTGAACTAGAGTTTAGTACAGGGCTAAATCTATCATCATCCCCAGTCGGACCAGGCTGCGTACTCACTGACGAGTCTGATTCACGATTGAGAGATGATGTTGGAATGACCTACACCAGATCTAGGTCTAATGTTGTTTTCTCAGTCATCTTCATCACTGCTGAACTGCTAGGCGAATTCAAATTTTGATTTATGAAGTTATCTATCTGATACTTCACAGTAACTTAAATCTTCACCAAAATTATCGAGAGTTTCGATAAACTTCGACACAACTCGCCGAGCCATGCTTCGCTTACGAGAAACAACAACGAACTGCGCTGAAGTAAGTTCCTTACTTTCAGTTGTTCAATCCGTAAGACAAATAACCTGTTTATTTGCACTAAAAGTGGTGAATATACACAAACAACAAAGAACTAGCTTGTCAATATCCTGTTTAAATCACTGGGGCTATTTGGAAGCATTTTTAAACCGCTGGGTTTACTTTATAGTCAGTTATAGTTGAACCCGCGTACGCTGCGGTCCGCGATGCGAATTTTACCGGACTGCTTATGCTGCGGGAGCGGTGCTCAGTGAGTTAAAAAGGAGTGGAGCTATAGGGGCATTCATGAAGCTGAAAATAGGAATTTACTTTGCATAAAAAAACGAAGCATTACAAATTTGTTCATAGAAGCACTAGCTATCTACATCCACAGGCTGTTTAAGCCATAGATCCCATCAACCTCACCTTGACAAAGTCAACACTCCTCCACTTCTCCCAGTTCATGCCTGTACACAGAACACCCTCATGCTCGGCCCAGGCATCCTCCACCGTCTTATGCAGCTCCTGGGAAAAAACAGGATGACGACCTTTCTTTAAAATGATGACTTTCCTCTCAGAAAGGTAAGCACGTGCTTGTGCACAAAAGAAAGGCCGATTTTATTATAGAACAAAGAAAGTGGGTTCTAGAGGAGGACACATTTGATCATGTGTATTCCTGGCTTTTTTTGTAATTTACCTACCTATACTGCTTGTGCTTTTTCTTGAGAGCAGAAATTTAGATTACACAATCACAGAAGCTTTTCAAAGTCATCTTGAATGAATCAATAGATTTTTGCAAAAATAAGGATTCTACACAACTGCTGATGACAATATTAGATCAGGCCAACGTGTAGGTGTGAGCAAAAGCAACACAGAAATAGAAGTAGATAAACAAAAGACAAAAACATTGAAGATTTTTTGCCTTGTACCTTAAAATACAAAATAAACCACTGGTACCTTAATGTACAAAATAATCTTTGTACCTTAAAGTACAAAACAATCCATCCATAACTTAATGTATTTTAAATATATTATATGAAACAATACTCTTGTAGGCTACCTCAATGTATGAAAAGTCCACTTGTACCTCAATGAACAAAATAATCCATCCATTTGTAACTTAATAATTATAAAACAATCCACTTGTAGCTTAATGAACAAATAATAACTCACTTGTATCTGATCTCATTTAAATACTTTAATGCCTCAAAGTACAAAATATTTGATGTTTACCTCAATGGAACTGTTTTCTAGAGTGCTGAGTCTTTCATCTATCGCCTCTTTCCGACGTGTGTAGAAGCCCAAGGTGTAGAAGTCCAATGGCTGAGCCTGGAAGGGACTGTGAAAGGCATCTGGAACCTCACAGAACAGAATGTCCCAAAAGTAAAGTGCAAACAGACAACTGATGACCGATCCCTCCGCATGAATACCTGAGAAAGAGATACTTGCATAGGTGAAAACTCATCACAGTGGTCTAAATAATCTTATTGTCGTGCGCCTGGAGACAGTTTGAGTAAAGAGAAGCGCTATGACACGATATCTGTTCTTCAGTGCCGGGAAAGAGCAAGACAGCCAGACAGCCAGAAAGAAAAACAGTAGGCCCTGAGATGGCATGGACCTGTTTGAGTACAAAACCTCACAAAATTTGCTATTACTATTAGAAACACAGGAAACAACTCCCATCCTAATTTCAACAAACATGATCCTTATTACCTCCTAAATAGGTTTATAGTCAGGTCACAATCTTCCAACTCAACTGCCGCCACAAACAGATTGAAACGGTGTATTCACTTCAAATCTAAAGTCGGAGGCACACCCCTCTGTCAATGTGGTCGGAGCCCAGAGAACAACCACCATATCCTTCAGCACTGTACTACTGTACTTGCTTCATAAGACAAGGAGCACAGAAATGGCAATAAGCTTCACCACTGGAGACAAAACTGTAGGGCAGCCTTGAGGATCTAAAGCAAACGCCACATCTGTGCTCATCTCCGGTCTGACTGTCTGTCATCGAGAAGTAAGAAGATGAAGGCCCTGAGACAAGAGCCTCATTCACAGACTAAGTTACGAAGTAGTATATCCATCCCATCTCACTAACCATCCCATTCCTTCAATTCTTTTCCACCTCATGAAAAGCCATCTGTGTTACATATAAAGTATAAAGCCATTAAAGCAGGAGCACTCCTTTTCTTTAAATGAGAAGCCAAGTTATCTTCTCCTACAAGACAACTCTTCAAGCAATAACAAGTTGAAAGAGTCTCTATGATTTTGAAGAATTGTGTTTGAATGAGAATCTTTATGTTTACATACCTTAACATGAGGGAAAATAACTTTTAAATAGTAATAAGAATTCATTGCTATTAAGGGGAAATTTACATTCAGTTGAGATATTTCATTAAAATTTTTTGCTTAAACTGAAATTAGCAGTTCTTATGCTATGGACAAATGTAGGCTTCCCATGTCCGTAACATTCCTATTCCTTACATGAACTGTCACTCAGTCAGGAGTGTGCTTCACGTCAACCAGGGGATGTCTAGCCATAGTACACTAAATCCTTGTGTGTGTGAAGGGCTTTGTGACAAAATAGGTAATGTCCAGTATTTGAAATTTTACTTTTCTCTTTAAGATTGCAAGCAGGATCTTTAATGATGATCTTTGCTAAATTAAAATATTTTGTCACAAAATGTGCAGAAACCCACAACTTTATACTGATTAGATTCAGTTTTTTCTTCAAAAGCTTATAAATTGTGACTCTAATATCTGTTGTTACAACAAATTTCCCTTTTAAGATGTGAAGAATTTATAATGAAGTTCTTCATAACCCAACAATAAGAAATACATCTTGATAAGATGCTGACAAACAGATACGTAGCATGCAGGTTTGGGCTTGCACAAGCACATGCGAGTGTATCGTATGTATGTGGTGTGTGTTTGTGTGTACGCATGTTGTGTAAGTGGGTGAGCATGTGCAAGCATGTATGTGTGCATGTGTGTGTGTTCCTGTGCACAAGTGTGTGTGAGAGTGTATGTTTATGTGTGTGTGTGTGCGGGTGAGAGAGAAAGAGAGAGAGAGAGAGAGAGAGAGAGAGAGAGAGAGAGAGAGAGAGAGAGAGTGTGTTAGTGTGTGTGTGTGTGTGTGTGTGTGTGTATGTATGTGTGTGTGTGTGTGTGTGTGAAATGTGTATGTGCGAGTGAGAATGTGTTTATACGTGTGTGTGTGTGTAAGTCCGTATTTGTGTGTGTGTATGCGTGTGTTGGGCATGCATATACACGCATATGTGCATGTGTGTGTGCATGTGCGTGTATGGGTCTGTTTGTGTGTGTACATTCATGTGTGTGTTAAAATGAGTATTATATTCAAGCGCATGTGTTACATCTCCTGCACTCACCGGAAGGAAAACCATTCCTGCTGTAGTGATCCAGCACAAACTCTTCCACCCCGCCCACGGTCATGTCTTCAGCATCCCCTCCGGCCAGGCACTCGCCCAGAAGGAACCTCGTACCTGTTGTGCTGATGCCCTGATGCACCACACGACCCTCCAGATACACCTGGGGTGTTGGGTACAGGAAAACTATGCTGTACATCAACTTTAGACTTTTAACAAATATACAGAGAAAACAAAAAAGTTGCTATCAACCTTAGGAGACTGCAGCACTCTTAATTTTTTTTCAGCAACTGATACACTCTAAACTAAATGATCTAAAATTTCATTCAGCAACTCTATATTATATCTAATCCAGAACTAATTTTAGGAATACTAAAACTGCATCATACACAAAGAAATTGTCACAATTTTGAGACTGCGTACTGTACTTTTAAATCTTATAAAACCCCACTAAGCGTTGAAATGTGTATGTATATGTGTAGTAGTGCATTTTCACTTCAACAAATATGATGTTCTTTGTTTTGTAAGAGTTCTACGGCACTTGCAACACAATAAAGTCATATAGGTGCAGAAGATCAGAGGTGTTACAAGAGAGCAACAAACACAGAAAAGAAGAAGAAGAGACCAGGACGGTAGCTGTTTGATAGGAAAAATGGAGCCAAACACACCAGAGCACCTGTCAAGTACCCTCAAATATGACGTTGGATCAGGTACAACAGGGTAAAACAACAAAGAAAAGGAATTGGCACTACAGGATGCAACAAATGAATCCATCATGACAGAAAAAAAGGTTACGCCTTAGTATATATGCATGCAGATGATGTGAGCTTGATCCCTAAGTGGGGAACTTATTTTATCAAAAGTATCTCTGTTAGTCTGTTGGGATGTTTTGTCCAAATCAGCCCTGTTTGGCCTTGAAAAGTAGAAAGGATCAAAGTAGTCTACCCTTTACAAGAATGAACTAACTAGTGTCAACAGGAGTGTAAAATATAAACATTGAATTACAGAATACAAAAAGCAACAATCTTATTGAAATTATGCTCACTTTGGGCATTTCTGCTACGGGCTCATGGTGAAATTCTTGTAAGCGATCCTTGACCTTGAGCTTAGCTCTTTGGCAGATGGCCTCGGCTCTTTGGTATATCGCCAGCCTGTGACCAACTTTCACGTAACTATCCGCAAGTCCTTCCGCAATTGCCTCCAGAGACTTGTAAACAAAAACATAGTTTTGAGTTAAACATATATATATGAGTTAATGTAGGAACAAGGCAAATTGGAGTAACTTTAAGAATTAAATAAAAATAAGTGCTGTGGACCTTTCAACGAAACAAAAGTGTGTATTACAGCTTAACTAATAACAGCTTGAGAGATAAATGGATGAACAGACAGAAAGACGAACAGACAGAAGTCAGATAGGCAGATATGGATGAATAGAGAGATAGGCAAGGAGACAGATGGATAAATAGAAAGATATACAAATAAACAGGCTGATAAAATGGATAAATAGACAGAAAGACAGATGGAAAGGACAGGCAAAGAGTAGGTGAGACAGAAAAGATAGACAGTCTCTGAGCACTGGTTCTCTGCAAACAAAATACTGAAGCTGCAAGAGGCTAGATTCCTCGAGACATCAGTAACTAATCGTATATAAAGCCTTCGGCAAAGGGAGGTCAAACGGGAAGAAGGCACTTCAGTTACCTCTAATGGTTGTTTAAGATGAGCATCAAGGTTAAGAGCCAACCGTTCCCACCAATATCCACGGTATGCACAGCAAAACGTGGTCTGGGACAGTAGTTTGCGCAACAGCTCAACAGCTTCCGGAAACTCCTTGCGTCGCTGCAAAATGTCGATGCCAGTGTTCAACAAACGGTAGATGACAGAAGTAGCTGAAAACGGGCGCAGGAAATCCGGCAAATTTTCATTCCACCTGTTGGTAAAAAAAAATGTTCTGTTATCAGCCTGATCCATGTTTATCAGAAGAACAAAATTTCTTTGTACTGAAATATTTGTAGAAATACAACCTTTTTAAAGCTTCGTGATTTACAGATTAAAAAAATACAGACTGATCAGGAGGATTTTTAAAAAAATGTATGAGTTTAACACTTCTTTCAACACTATAACGTTATTAAAGAGGCTGGACCGTCAAATTCAACATCAATATCTGACTGGACTGCACCGAGTGGTTGGAGAGCCTTCAAAACCCCACATATAACTCAAGTTCAAGATGTTAAGTGACCAAACAATTATATAAGGGGGTTTAAATCATACCACACTGAGCCCTTCACACTGAGACATGCGATCGGACAAAGAGGGTTAAATCTCAGGTGTCAGTGCAGTAGTCAACACGTGTTGCAACAGTGAGACAAGAGAATGCAGTGGCCAATTTAATAGGGTGTGTAAAGAAGTACAACAAAAGATCAAAGTTGAAGTTTTAAGTTGACACTGCAATAGGTACCTTATCTGTTATCAAGTGCTAGTTCTGTGACAGACATTTGTCTTTTCCTTTTTTCTGTACAAAAATTTAAGTATTTTTACTTCAACTTACTGAACGATGCTTTCATCACTTTCCAGCTCCTTCCACATGAGCACAACCTTTTGGTATACCGAATAGGCATCAGCCCATTTGCCTGACATGGTGCAATTCATTAGATCAGACTCCAGCTGAAGCGCTTGCTCAAATCTGAGATATAAAAACATGTTTGATATCATGCAGTAATTTCTGAACATATTACCCAAGTAGAAACTAAAAAATGTATAACACAGAAAATATGTCAACATAGTATCTTTTTTTTTCAAAGCTAAGGAAGGGATGATCTTGTGCTACTGCATTTTCTGTGGATTGTTAGAGCAAACAAACAAAATCATAAACTTATTTCGCAGTCGGTTAACAACATAACTTGATCAGATGTTTTTAGGCGAATTGTTCAACAAATCAATTTGAGCTATTGAGAAAGCAGTTTTGCCAATACAAAGAAAATAAAGCTGTTCAGTCTAGAATGGTATAATATTGTCCAAGCTATCCGTGATTTCGAGTTTTGAGGGTTTGTGCTATCTGCGTCCAACTGTATTTCTTTTCAGCACATATAATATAGTTATATATTTCAGCTCTTGTTTCTTCAATCTAAAATGGGCTTGTCAATGGTGAGCCCTGTTTTAACCCTCATCCTGCTGGAGCCGGGTTTATGTAGCCCGATAAGCCTATTTTGGCACCTCGCCTGCGTTCTGGTCCCGAGTCAGTGTAGCTCCTGGCTCAGCGCACGCGCAGCGCGCATCCTCTTACGTGTCATTCGGGTCCCGAGTCGGATCCCCATTCACGCAGGTCAAGTGTGTGTGCGTCAGTCTGCTTGAGTTTGTGTGCGTTTGTGGCCTTCTTCTAGAACCACCTGCGTTGGTTCGTAAACGAGGCATACGTCTCATTCAAAACATGCCAAGTTGATAGCTCTAGATGTTCGTCCAATGAAATTATAGAAGAAATTGACCCACTTAGACATGAGGAGCTCGAAAGGATAGTCAGGAAACAAGACTTCCTTTTTTTCTGTACAAAATATTTCAAATGAGCTTGATTTTGTATGAAATGATACTACCTGATAAAAAATGAGCTTGTTTGATAGTTTTGAATACCCTTGTGCAGGTACAAAGAACAATTTGAGTGTGAAACATTCGGAAATTGACATAAATTATCCCTTTTCGAACCTCAGGTCAGTCATAACAACAAGAGAGTCCAGAAAGGTTATTCAAATGGGCGTAACTACTCGTAATGTCTTATCAGCTTGTGAGAGGGGGTTATTCATGTGTTTGTAACACTTTATAAATAGAAAGCTATGAAGAATAGAGCGTTATTTTCATCATCAGTTAACACACTCCCGCGGTATTCATGGCGAAAACACACGTTTCCCGGCGCGCGCGCTGTACACCAACAGTACACACTGAATGACCCCGGCGGCCTGCCCGGCACGTCCGACATAATCGGTTGCTAATAAGATACTCATCTGGGCACAGACGCAGGATAAGAGTTAAGCCCTTGTCACTCTGCCTTCCGACATTCAATTTTGGCCACACTTCAACTCCAAACCATGGCACATAGGGCCTAATCGTCACATGATGAGTCACAAGTGAATCCTATTAAGGTTACTTAAATATTTTGATAAAATCCATTTTAGCTTGATAATGTCAATTCCCTTTATGTTCCTTGAAGATACAGAATATTTTCTGGCTTAGTTTTTATCAAAATCAATTCAAGCATGACGAAGAAATGATTACCGCATAATTTATCCACAACAGAAAATGTACAAACAATAAACAAGACACACTGATAAAGAAACCAAAATTTTGCTTCACACTTCATTGCTTCACCAATCATTGTCTTGAGTCCCTGGTATGATTACAGAGTAAGCCTGGCACTGAAAGTGTTTAAACTTTACAGATTACAAGACAGCTTTCACTTCAGTAAAGTAAAAATTTCAAACCCTAATATAAAACTGCAATATATACAAAGACATTATATTCATAATAAAGGTCAAAACAGTTCCTCGAGAATCTCTAAGCAGCACACGCAATGACAAGTCACAAACCTAATGACGTCTTCTCTCCCACTGAAGATCCGATGGTCTTTCTTTACAACATAGCTGGGATAAACCATCTTGCCCATGTTCACCATTAGCATGTGAAACCTGTATGGCAGAAAAAATATCTGAGTAAAATTTCTAAAATCTTTGACTACAGTTGTAGCTATAGTAGAATGAAAAATGCTTTCATCACAGCTTACAACCCCGATTTCAAAATTTGAAAGCAATACATTTAATTTTCATTGTTTTATAACATTTATTTTTCCAGTTAGCAATTAATTTTTATCGGTGACAATCAGGTGACCATATTCAAGTCCAATAATTCACCCCATGAAGACTGAACACAAAATGCATCAATTCTCAAAGAGTAGAGATATTTAAACACAAAAGGAGGAAAAGATTTACAATGGATGAGTTTTTTGCTTAACAACAATGTTCATGTCATCTGCCTCCTGGGCTTGGAAATCAAATTTGTGCTAGTTCATGATGATGGATTGTAAATTGATTTTAAATGTGTTACATCACCACAGACACAATGTAGGTAGGCTGCTTTCACTTTGTCTGTTGGGTAGAGATGGGGCGAGCTGACGGACGGGTTCGTTTCTCGCGGACTCAGTCAGAGTGAACGGGTAACGGAGGGCCATGAGAGCGAACTACGAACCTCAAGACAGTTAGTTTTTTGGGTCCGCTCCACAATTTGACTCTCTCAGCGAGCGGACTGCGGACCTCAAGCCAGTTCGTTTTTTTTGGGTCCGCTCCACAATTTTATTCACTGGGCGAGAAGGCAAACGGACGAACTTTAGCAGACGAGATACTCGACGCGAGGTTAGGCCCACGGTCTATTGTTTGTTAATTAGGCCTAATGTTTCAAACCACTAGCGGTGCCACAGGGAGTGAGAGAGGCTGGTGACGTAGTATTACTATGTGTGTAACGTTTCACCTCGTGAGTGGGGCACACAGTGTATGTTCCAATTATCGCAAAGGGCGGGGAGGGAGCCCGCCATGAACGCCTAGTTGCAATGTGAGGCAGGAGCAGGATTTTTTAATTAAAAAAATTTTTTTTGGGGGGGAGGGGATGTTGTAAGTTGTATCACTCTCTGGTTGTATGCAATGGAAGGAGTCGCTCCCGTCCGTCCGTCCGCTCGCTCGAATGCATGGAGTCTCTCGGTCCGCCCGTCCGCTAAACGAACTGTTGTCTCTGTCCGATGTGTAGTGAGTAGCGAGTAGCGAACTACTCTTCACAAATGGACGGTTCGTTACCCGTCCGCTCGTTTGTGGGTAGTGCCAGCGGGTAGTTGGTTACTCGCTGACGCTAATTTTGCGAGCCCGACCCAACACTACTGTTGGGGCCAGCCCGAGCTGAATAGGTTGCAACATTCCAGCAGATAGATGGAGATTTTCAATGAAGTAATTTCCCCACGTCAGAATAATTCATGAATAATATCAGGTTTTAAATAAACTCAAAACTCTAACTAGAGTTGTCTTAGCCAAATTATGTTATCTTCTATTGTTTATATAATATCAAGGCTTTGTCTCATGGAGATAAAAGAAGCTGTGTCAGAAATGAAATCACTTCTCACAAAAAGCTGACCAAATCAGCTTGTTGTTAAGGGGAATTTACTCTTATCTGGCACAGTCGACTTTGTAAAAAGACAAAAGAATTTTGGCTAACTTTTCTTGTTTCATCTCATTTGTTCCAGATCTGGCAATTGAAAAAGAATCTGATTATGCAATTCCAACTGGTCGATGTAATGAACACCAGATTCAGTTTGATTAATGATTTATTCCGAGCTGTTAATTTCTGATTAACATTCATTTCTGGTCAAGTTTGCATACATTTTTATTCAATTTCGTCTAATTTTTGGCTGACTCATGTCCTTTTTCTTATGGTAAGAGAGTTATTCTCGAAACAGGGCCTAAGGTGAAACTGAGATACGGTGAGTTCCCTATATCATCAACTGAAATCCAGAAATGACTATCCATTTTCATTAAAAAGGCAATTATAAAATTGAGGCATCACACATTCTTTTATGTTTGTGAATATCAAACCGATCCGCCCAGTACTTCTGCCTCAATTAAGAATTCTGATGAGTTAATTCCTAGTGTTTCCTGTTCACATCTTGCTGTAAAAATCAATTTTCTCAAAATGATGACTTTGAACAAAGACATCTGAAGCTCTCATCTGACAAAATGTTTTCCATAAAAACTGTTCTGCAATTTCTGAAGTGTCCATGTGTTTCCTGTTTCCATTCTGACACAAAAATCAGTTGTATTTTTCCCAAAAGAAAAAAGAATTAGGACATAGCCACCTCTGGCTCTCTGTTGAAGAAATATTTTCCGTGAACAATGATCAAGTAATAAACTTACAGCTGTCCCTGGCCTCCACTTCCATTTTCCTCATCACCCGAGGTATCTAACAGCGAGTAGAGCATCATTGTTCGCATAAATACGGCCCTTACTTCTGACCGTAGACGGTAGATACCACTGATAAACTGTTTGGCTCTGGAAAGAAAGAAAAAAAGATAAGACTGTGGGTATAGTACATGTTTAAGGATGTAACAAAATTCGCTACAAACTAGACAGATTGCCAACCTTGACAACAAAAAAACATGTCAAAGGAAAAAAAGTACAGTAAAATGTGCTTAAGTCACCTCTGTCCATTCTTTGCATCCCTCTCTGTCCATTTCTCTCTCTCTCTCTCTCTCCTTCTCCCTCTCTCTCTCTCATAAACACACAATGCAAAACATCAACCTATTACCACAGACACACTTATGACCAAGAGAATGTGCAATATATCGCACACATACAGCAGCATAGGATACTATCATAAGTAAAAAAATGTAAAATATGAAAACATACTTAAGTATACACCCAGAAGTTTTGAATCTTTGTTCAATTTTTTTCCCTGCAAATGACAGAAAACATGTCTTTTTAGAGAAACATAAACAATCAAAAAGGTGTTGACTTTGGATTACACTGACTTTTTCATCATGGCATCTGCCACACCTCCTTTCTTGGCTCCAAACATAGAGCTGATAGTACTCTGCTGAGACTTCTTGATCAGCTCCTGCACTTGTTGACCTTTCTGTGTTACTGTAGATGCCACATGATAAGATTTGGCTAGGCTCTTTATGTCTCCAGCACTCAGAGCATGCAGTAAGTCTCCCAGGTCAGTCAAGTTCTCATCTGAATGATGGGAAGAATAAAGAAAGAAAAGATGAAGCATTGTCTCATCAAAATATATCTGTAATGGAATAATCAGTGAGAGCTGAGCAATCAATTCCTTCAAGGGGTCAGAAGAAGACTGAAGGAAAGGAGAATTAAGAATATTACTCATCCCCCTGCAAATCTGTAAAGGCAGAAACAATTTTGTTGGATTTGCATAAGAATTCAATCATTTACTGGGGATGGGTTGCAAGCAATAGAAAATGACCATCATCTAAACGAAGACTTGACACATATACTGTTTGGCTCCCATCACCTGATAACATCCCGAGGCGTCAACCTGGTGATGCAGTGGATTCCCGGACACTCAAACATACCTGGAAATGACAGAGCAGACACACTCTCCAAAAGGGGATCTAGACAGGAACAACCCAACATTCCAACTTCATACAACACTGCAAAACAAATCATTAAAAGCAACAGCAAACAAGATTGGATGAACAGATGGGCCTTGGGAAAGACAGGCAGAGCAGTTTTCAAACATATGACTACGACAAAATGAAATGACAATATCAACAACCTACAGAGAAAGAAACAGACCACGATCTTCAGCCTATGAACAGAACATATACAGCTCAACTTTCACTTGAACAGAATAAAACCAGAACTTCCCCCAATGTGTCCTTTGTGTGACTATGCATATGAGATAGTGGAACATCACCTTTTCCACTGCACAGCCCTAAATGACATCAGAGCTACACTTCTCCCTCTGAGATCTAACTTTGACAACAAACTCTACGGAACATTACAGCAACTGCACCAAACCTGCACTTATCACTACATGGCATTGGGCAGATGTTGCTGGATCGATAACAGCAACAACAACAACTGGGAATGGGGGAAGGGCGGTCGGGGAGAGAGAAGCCCTGGTAGCAAGTAGGGTAACACTTTGTGTTGGCTGTTTTTGGATTATATAATGGTGGTTAAAAAGCAACAACTCACCACTGTCAATAAATTTGACTGCAGCCAGCTCCTTCAGGGAAGAAGTCAAATCTTCTGCAATTTCTGGGTACTTCAACTTTGACAAAGGGATCCAGTTCAATTTGCGGCTAAACATCCTTATATACAGTTTTTTGGCTGCCTCTGAAAAAAGATAAATCAAGAATATTAAGACCATTGAAAGCAATCAAAGAAATACTTTTTTACTTTAAGGAAAAAAACAACTTCAATGAGAGTGTGTACGATTATGAAGGGAGAATGGAATAGAAAAGGCAAAGGAAGAAAAGAAATGATAAAAGAAAGAGAAAGCAGGGGTAGGAAGGACATAAGACAAGGGAAAGAAAGGACATAAGACAACGGAGAGAAAGGGAAAAAACTTACAATGAAGACAAAAGTATACATGATCTTTAGAAAGGAGATTTTCGCAAAAAATTACATGATTCCCTTTCGCAGGGCTGAGTCAAGCCAACAGTAGAAATATGCGATTGATTTGATGCATATAAAAGAGGTATAAACTCTCCAGCTGAATGCCACAGCAAAATCTACTGGTGAGTCAGGCTCGGTAGCGACAATTCAATGTAGCTGCGGAGAATGACCTCAGTAACAGGCACGTATCTCTGTTGATTGCTACTCAGACTCATGTGTTTGGCCAATCGTAAAACTTGGTCACCTTTTCTCCCCCCCCCCCCCCAACAGTTACCTTCCATCTTTATGCCCCAATCTGTTCACCCAGAGCCTGTCAAAAAAAACCAAACAACCCTATTAAGTAGCCAAATCCTATGAGGTTGTGATTGCATAGTAGCATTTCGTTTCAGAAAAGTTTGAATAGTCCTACAGGATACATTTCACGTCACTGTCTGACCCAATGAGCAAAGAAACTTATTTATATATATCAGTTTTCCGTTTGAAGAAGTGTACCCTAAGGAGGCAAAGCGTATGGATTCTGAACGCGGATTCAAATTTTGATAGAACAATGGACAAATATTTTACAAGAAAATGCTGAAGGGGTGGGGCAGGGGAAAATAAATACTTGGGAGAAACGGACAGGGAACTTGTGTGATTCTATTTATTATTCTTAAAATTAGCTGTTATAGTCAATCTTTTAAATGGTATGTTACTACAATTCAAATCTATAGATCGATTTTATTGTGGAAGGAGGATGAAGATAGGCTTACTATCTTGGTTTGAAATTAAAAAAAAAATCTTCAAATAATAAAAATTAGGGATTTCAAATCATGTTTTGAAACGCTTACAAAGCACCACCAATTATAAAGAATTTTTAAAACTTCACACTAAGAGGGTACAACATTTAGCCTGCCTCTCAATTACAAGAGTCCCCTTTCATGCTGTAAACACCACCGATCTGTGCACTTAAGAGCAATCTGCAGAGCAAGGCCTTCTCTAAAGGCACAACAAGAACTATCTCCACGTGTAATACATTTTGGCCGCATGAACAAACTTTGCCATTGTCAAATGAGGATAAAAAAGAACAGTAAAACATTTTAAACCTGAACAATTCATATCATACGTCAACTTCGCAATTCTAAAACAATTATTAAAAAAGAACAGAAAAACAATTTTAAAACTGAACAATTCATACATATCATATGCCAGGAGACTATTTTTTAAAAGGAGTAAAATATCATTTTAAAAAAATCATAACTTCAAATTTGGGGTAAATTTTGTCTCTCGTGACAATGGACGTACCTGAAAGACAATGGTAAGATTCTATGGTCTCCTTATCCTCCTTATTGAAGAGATCATAGTTACTATCATCTTCCATCACTGACTTGAGAATTGTCTCAAAGTTTTCGAGGTAGTAAGGCAATCTGTATGACATCTCCTTTGTAGAGTCTTCTTCACCTTCTTCTCTTTCTTCCTTTCTCTCATCATTATTTGACTTTGAGAGCAGAGCAGATCTTTTTGCATCATCAACTGGCGCAGACCCTTTTGCATTATCGACTGAAACAGATTCATCATGAGAAGCCATAGGTGAAGATACTTTACTGTTTTCATTCGATGATTTGCTACATTGTGAGCTCAGCGTCTGAACTGAAACTGGGTCAATGTTGACACTGTTATATTCAACAAATTTCTCTTTACCCTCGTCTATAATAACACTCTTCTCAGTAGTGCTAGCTGTCTGACCATCGTTATTTTTCACAAGTTTCACAGAAGAAGGAAAGAACTCTTCAGAATCAGTTTCTCGGTTTCTTTTTCCCAGAGACAATCTCATTTTATTGCTCTTTCTCTCAGCAGAGGCTGTCACTACAGAATCACTTAACTTTTCACTTGCTTCAAAATCATCAGACACAGTCACATCTTTCTTTACACCTGAAATGCTGGGGATCGTTTTTCTATCACTTTCAGAATATGCCACAGATGAAGCAGATTTATTAGAGTCCATTTGGAGACGTTTTTCCAAAGACATGACCTTTTTGGTTGTGAGCTTGGAAGAAGATGTACCCTCTTCATCCTTTGAGATTGTCTTTTTCTTGAAGTAAGGAGAAACACATTCATCTTCGTCTTCCACACAAATCACATCATCGTCTTCATTAGCATCCAAAGCAGCAGAAAATTTACTCAATTTTTTCACATTTTCAGTCTTCTGTTTTCTGAACATGTCAGAGATAGTCTGCACTTTATCATCATCATCACGTTTACTCTTTGAAAGAGAAAGTTTTGACTTCTTCTTCCCTTTCATACTCATTTCTGGAGCTGTGAAAGAAAAAGTAAATAAAATTCAAATCAGGTTAAATATGTAGGGACAAAGTAGATGTAGCAGAAACCAATCCAAAATAACTCCTTCTATTGCTCTGTCTTTAAAGGGCATACGAAACTTTAGCAAATCTTTTTCATCTACAAACTGTATGCTTATAGCATGGAGAATTCTTTTTATTCAGTTTTGTGGGTTTTCTTTTCTGCAGATAGGTTGGATAGGAGTGGAGTTATATAGGATAGTTTGTGACGCCAGAAGCGAAGCGTCTATATAATCAAATAATCACTGCTTCCCTTCCTAATTTTGAAACATTGTCACAGTCAAATTCACCCATAGACGTAAACCTCATAAATTAAATGTAAAAAGACGTTCATAATCACCAATGAACAATAGATTATGCCTAACCTTCAAAACCGTTTCATTGCCACAGAAATAGCCTGTTCGCCCCTATCGGGCCGCTCCATAAGCAGTCACAAGCTTTGATTAAGTAAGCTTAAAGTGAGGCTGGAAGAGTCAACCAATAGAGTTAAAGGGAACATGTGCATAGCAGTCAGAACTGTTTCATTGTCGCATATACCCTGTTCACCCCTTTCGGGCCACAGTTATAAGCACCCAGACGCGCTGATTAGGTAAGCGAACTATTACACTGGTCGAGTCTACCTCACAGATGTGAGGGAAACTAACTCCTAATAATCCTTTGACTCCTGCTACTACACTGCTGTTTTTTTTCCTCGACTTTTTAACGTCCTATAATCAGATCGTGACCTCGATTATGACACCGGCTCCTGGCCGCGAAAAGCTAGACAAAAAACAGCCAAATGTGAAATAAAAAATTAATAATTGGCATGCTTTACCAAAGTGTTTCGGCTGTCTGGTATAACATGCCATTGTAGTGCTGACATCTCTGCTTCTTTCCTTGATGTTCGTGTGTTCAAATCTAAAGTTAAATTTAAGGTTAGTTAGAATAAATATTTAATGAAATAATTTCCCGATTATTTTAGCGGTTGAACAAGCATACAACATGAATTCAGGATTTGTTTTCATTCACAACTCAGAGTTGCCGCCTCCAGTGCCAGTAAGATTCTTGTGACTTGTGTGAGTGTGATATCTCCAGGCCCTATCTGGTTCCATTTCCCTTTGATTACTCTGTCAAACAAGTCAGCCTTCGCCCCTGTGTGACGCTGAAATATTGTATGACAAAACTGGCTGCGTACAAAAGCATAACAGCCTTTCATTAAGAGTTAAATCCACAATAACCACTTGTTACACACACACACACATGTAAGCACGTTTGTACTGTACTCATGCCTGCAGGCAGACATGCAGGCACATGCATGAGTGCAAACACACAAACAAAGAAAATTAGTTTCCTTCTTTCACAATGTAATTAATCCAAAATAGACTTTTTTTAAATTAAGAGGTTACAGAAAGAAAGGAGGAAATTCATGGTCTCACCATATATGTGACATCATGGTAAAATCAGGCGCTTTATCAAAATAATGATGTTGAAGAAACCAATATTTTCTTGCCCATTGGGCAATTTTTAAAGATTAAATTAATTTTTTTTGGGGGGGGTGTCTCTACACCTGTTTTGTCCATTTAATAACAAATTTGTGTGCGGGTTTTACTACAAGAAAATATGGATCAGGAAGCCAAAAAAAAAAAAGTGATCAATGAGAACAGAATGGCTGAAGGTCAATGATGAATACAGAAATACAGTCAACAACTGAAAAAGTGACTGGGGAGGGGGGGTGAAGATATTCAACATTAGATTTATAAAAATCAATGATGTATACAACAGTCTACTACATGCATACCAAACTATGTATGATGCAGAAATCTTTTTACTTATATTTATTTTGCTTTGGAACGTGTTTTGAATACAGTACAAAGAATATACACATAAGTAAGAAAAAAATTAGGGACTTAAAAGTCTGTCCACTGTGGGCGTGTTTCACTATGAGCATGCTAGACTATTTCTAATAGTTGGCCTATATATTTGTAAGTCTCAGAGACGTAACCGTCTTCCGTAGGGAATCCATTTCTGGGTTGCTCTTCATAGTGTAGCATGTCCTTTTCCTACTTTGCACACCCTGTTTTGCGTGTTCACTTAAGGTGCATTTTGATTTTTTATTGGTAATAATGGCAATCCCCTCCCCCATTCCACATGAAGGAGCTATGTCTTGCCAACTATTTTTTGTGTGCATTTTAAAAAAAAATGGTAGATGTTTTTCTCCCCATCAACATAATTTAGATCATTTAGGACACTGGATTTGATCATGCCATTCAGGGCCAATTCAGCCTCAGAGGTATATTATACAATATTCCAGCACAAAGGTCGAGAGACTTGATAAAACATATCTCTGTGAGCGGCGGCGAAGCGCTTAACCGCTATACCACAGAGGCAGGTTTGCCAACTGTTATCAATCAAAAGTTCAAAAAAGGTGTCTCAAACGATACATGTGTCCAGGCATGGTGGAATCAAAGGAGGTGCAGATTGCCTGGTGCAAGAGTGGTAAAATTAGTGAGAAAATGGCTTCCAAAGTTTGGTGACTTCCAAAATCGCAATGTCCTTGGAAATTGTAGATTTGCATTTATTGTAAAATTGGTTAAACTTTTTCATTAAAATCCACACAGGAATGTGTTTTTAAATGAAGAAAAAAGGTGTTGAGCCCAAAACAGAGTAAGTCAATAAAAATTGCTCAATGAGTCAATGAGCAGTAAAAATGTTGGTTTCTTCAATTGTTGCATTATTTTGATGATTTTTTAAGGCCTAGTTTCACTGCAATGCAACATATTCTTTGTCATGACATTAGCCTATAGTTGGCACTCAAAAAGGCAATTTCAAATATTTAACACAAAACAGGTTGGGGGTGGGGGGGGGAGTAGAGAAGTAGTAGATCTATTCAAATTCAATCAAAAATAAAATTGTTAACAATTCTTTGGCGTGCAATTTGAACGCTGGAGTGAAAGAGTGCGCACACAACATGGAAAAAACAGTGTGCAAAATAGGAAAAGCGACATGTCACGGAGACAACCCAGAAATGGATATGCAACACTGCAACAGAGGGTGGACAGACTAATTGGAAGTATGGCGTCCTAATTTAATAAGGGAAGAAGAATGATTCTTCGGTTTAGCTGGGTTTTTGGTTTAGAAGTTGCTCAATGAAAACAAAAAAAATTAAGGGATCCTATTAGTCTATTTTCTTTCAGCTTTTCGCTGTCATTGAATTAACCGTGTTCAGTTTAAGTTTAAGGGGACTTCACTGTAGTATAGGTCATTATTAATATGAGTTTGGGGGCAGGCAGAGTTTCCTTTAAAACAAAATGTAACCGGGAACAAATTCACGAAGTATACAGATCCGGTAGGGGAAATCTTTTGTAGAGTGTGTGTGGGCGTGTGTGTGTGGGCGTGTGTGTGTGTGAGTGTGAGTGTGTGTGTGTGTGTGAGAGAGA